TCAAATATTATTTTTGATTTTTCTAAATTCGAAAATTTAGAAAAATTATTTTTAATAATTCGAAATTCGAAAATTAATTTTAATAATTCTAAGTCTATTCGAAAATTAACAAAATTCGAAAATTAAAAAAACAGTAATCTACTTTTACTAATCTGAATATTATAATAAATTTAGATATTAATAAACAACTAACAGATATTTATTTATCAAATTTCAAGGATAAATACAAAACACACAATGAAATTGTCACATATTATTTATTAAACAACTAACATAGATTTATTTATCACATTAGCCTAACTAACATTATTCATTCCTCAATCGGAAACTTTCAAGAGGCCTAGCCCACAACTCCTGAATTTTCATTCGAGCTTCTTCGTTGATCGGGTCCATATACTCTGAAACTTCTTGTGCACGTTGAAGCATCCGACACAAATTTCTTGCTTTTGACTTGCCCAACGAGTCGGATTCTTCATCTTTATAATCGCCAAAACTTTCAAGGGGTCTAGACATCAACTCCTTGATTCTCTCGTATGCTTCCACGGTTTTCGGCTCCATAAGCTCTGTAATCAGCTTAAGTCGTATCATACCTCTACACATCGAATCCCAGTCAATTGGATCTCTATTAGCCATTTTTTTTTACAGTTCAATCTTGGGCCGGAGAAAGATGATTTATACTAAAAAAATTCAAGTTGTCACGGTCATAGTCACGGTCCGGACCGTGACTAAACCCTTCGTAAATGCCGAAGTCAGTCCGCCGGTCAGAGCGGCGCTGACAATAATAGTCACGGTCAGAACCGTGACTATGACCGTGACTATTTTCAAAATTTGAAAATAGTCACGGTCATAGTCACGGTTCTGACCGTGACTATTCTGATTAATGGCGTCTCTGACCGTCGGCGCTGACATCGTCAATTACGAAGGGTTTAGTCACGGTCCAGACCGTGACTATGACCGTGACTAAACCCTTATATAAAAAGAACACTTAGCGTTTTTTTTAAAAACCTACGCACCCAACTCCCAAACCCTAACTTCCTCTTCCTTCTCTCTTCCCTCTCTTCCAGTTTAGACAGTGCCGCCGCCTAGCCGTCCGCCGTCAGCCGCCTAGCTGTCCGCCGTCGCCGCCTAGCTGCCGCCGTCAACGCCTAGCCGTCCGCCGTCGTCCTCCGGCCGCCTTCGTCCACCTTCTTCCGTCGGCCCTTCTTCAGTCAAGGTTATGTGTTTGTTCAACTTATTTGATTAAAATTCCAATATTTGATTAAAATTCCAAAAATGCATGATTGTATACTCAAATGCATGATAAGATGCACGAATTTTAGTTTCATATCATTTTGTAATCTTCAAAAGTTATATGTATGATTTATTATATGCATGATTTGTAGTTTTGCATGTTAATTTCATTTTATATGTTTCGTATGCATGATTAATATATGTTAAATGTAGATTATTTATATGTTAATATATGTAGATTTTTTCGTATGCAAAAAAAACTAGGCAAAACACTGTTTTAGTTTATATGTTTCATATGCATGATATGATTTATATGTTTTGTATGCATGATAATTATGTTTAAATGATTTAAATTATTATATGTGTAGTATATGTTCTTATGCATGATTAATAATATTTAATATATATGATTAGTGTGTGATATGCATGCCTCTCAATGGTTAACCCGAAATATTTAAAAAAAAATTGCCCCCTCATGTTAAGCTTTCACAAACTTAACATGTTTAATTCTAATTTTACAAATTTTTATAAACAAATTTTATAAAAAGTATACAAATTATTTTATAAACAGTTTCGATAAACAGTTTTTATAAACAGTTTTTAAAATTTTACAAATTTTTATAAACAGTTTCTATAAAACGTTTCTATAAACAGTTTTTATAAACAGTTTTTATAAATATAAAAAGTAAAAATTGGATACAAAATGGTAAATAAACAGTTTTTATAAATATAAAAAGTAAAAATTGGATACAAAATGGTAAATAAACAGTTTTTATAAAAACTGCAGTTTTTAAAAAATAAAACAGTTTTGTAAAAACTGTTTTTATAAAAACAATTTTGAATGAAAATTTAGTTTACTTAAAAACTGTTTTATATAAAAACAGCTTTTGTAAAAACAGTTTTTATAAAAACTGCAGTTTTTTTAAAAACTGTTTTGAATGAAAATTTAGTTTACTTAAAAACTGTTATTGTAATTTAATTAAAAACAGTTTATATAAAAACTGTTTATATAAAAACTGTGTTATATAATCTGTTTTTGTAATTTAACTAAAAAAGTATAAAACTGTTATTTAGACATTATAAAAAACGTTTTTTGTATAAACTTAAACTATACTATTTTTCTAGAAAAACAGTTTGTATAAAAACTGTTTTTTATTTAAAAAGTGTATAAAAACTTTTTTTTATAAACTGTTTTTGAAAAAAAAAGTATACTGTTTCTAGGAAACAGTTTGTATAAAAACTGTTTTTTATTTAAAAAGTGTATTAAAACTCTTTTTTATAAACTGTTTTTGAAAAACTGTTTATAAAAATTGTATAAAATTCATGTATCTTAAACAAAAAAAAAGATGGCCTCTCATGTAAACTTTGCAAAAAGTTTAACATGTTACTTACAATTGTAAATGTGTATAAAACAGATAAAAAAATGGCCTCTCATATAAACTGATAGGACTGATAAAAAAAAGATGGCCTCTCATATAAATTGATATATCGAAAACATAAAAAAATGATCTCTTCTCATGTAAACTTTGTAAAAAGTTTAACATGTTACCTCCAAGTGCAATTTATTACCAAATTATTTAAGAACTTATTATGAAAAAATATGGACCCCTCATATTAAACTAAAAATAGTTTAATATGCTATACACATTTTCAATTAATAATACTTGTATAAATTTTTATAGTGAAAAAATTAATAATACTTGTATAAGTTTAATATGAGTGGTTAAATAATTTCTCATAAGCTCATCCTATAAATTTTATTTTCTATTATAATCATTCTAACAAAAAACAAAATAAATTAATATATTTTAGATGAGCAACGAACAATCGACCTCGGCTCCCCGCCCTAACCATGCGCCTATGTCCGAAGCGGAGCGCAACAATGATGGAGCTGTTTGGGTGACGCCTGCAGAAGTTCTTTTGTAAGTAGTTATGAAAAACCTTATTTTCAATAATTTTATATAATGTTAAATAATCAAACCAAATCTTATATAAATAAATACTATTAATTTTTTTAAGTGACGAACACGTGTTCACGGGCATCAAAAACATCATCGGAGGACACTTTCTTGGCACTTGGGCCACACTGTCAGATGTTGACCCCAAGGTTCGCGAACTATGGTGGAACCTGTTCAAGGTAAAAATAAATGAATGTTCCCTTCCTGATTGTATTGGCCTAATATATACCTGGTGATTAATTAATCCAATTTGTTTTAATAAAGGCTCGCTATCGTTGGACTCACGCACACGGTGCCGATATTCTTAAAGCCTACAATGCTAGGATTTCGACCTGGCTTCGCGCCACTTTTAAACGGGCGCGAAAAAGTGGGAAAAAGCCTAGATGGGTTTCGGATGAAGTGTGGTCCAACCTTTGTCGCCACTGGTCTTCTGATCCGAAATTCTTGGCCAGAAGTGAATCCGGTAAGAAAAACCGGATGTCCGAGAAGGCCTTGGAGATGCAGTGGCACGGAGGTCGTAAATCTCAGAATGCCCATAAAGAAACTCTTGTAAGTGCTATTCAAAAAACCTTACAACATCACATTCCTTTATTATAAAAAATTTAATTTAAGTCTTTTTCACACCATTTAGGCTGGTCCTGAGAAGAAGAAGGTTGATGTTCTCCGGCTCGTCAAGCATTGCTGGACGAAGCACGGCGAGGAATCTGAAGCCGATTTGCCACCCCGCCTCGCTGACTTCGAAGTATGTAACATCATATTTTGTTATTTAGTAACATTTAAAATCTAAGTATGTAGCATTTAAAAAATCTTTTTGAAAATGCAGACGAAGTACAACGAATCCCTCGACAGGCAGCGTGCGGCACGAGGCTTGACCCAGGAGGACGACCTCGATTCCGATGCGGATGATGAGGCGGCCATTGAGGCGGCCGGGGTTTACAAGGGCCGGGTTCCGTGCTTGGGGGCCGAGGGGCAACGGATTTTGTATGATCGAAGCACCGGCGCTTCCTCTTCTCGGTCAAGGCGGGGAGAAGATCCCCGTATTGCCACAATGCAGCGTGAACTGGAGGACCACGAACGGCGATGGGAGGAGCAGCGGAAAGCAGATGCTGCTACAAAAGCCCGGTTGGAGGAGATGGAACGGTACATGCGTGCCGGATTCCAGCCTCCGCAACAGCCTTTTCCTCCCCCGTACGTATTCCACCCTGAGCAAACTCCTCAAGTTCCGCACATGGGCGGTATGGGATTTTTCCCCAACTCCGGATATGGTGGCATGCCTATGATCTCCCCGAATTTCGGTTCTATGTCCTTTGATTTTGCGAGGTCATCCGGAGGAGGTAGTGGCACGCCGAGCCACGGAGGCCGAGGAGCACCCCGAGGAGGACCCCGAGGAGCACCCCGAGGAGGAACCCGACCTGACCCTGAAGACCCCCCCGTGAACCCAGATGAGTTTCTTGTTGATGATCAAGAAGAAGAAGAAGAAAATCCCAATTTTTATCATAATGGAGTCCCACGGGACATGTAATCATCATACATTTATTATTTGTTGTATTTCAAAACTTTTAAAAGTTTGTCACAATATTTATTGAATTTGTTGTATGTCTTTATTCTTAAAATGTATTTATTTTAAAAAAAATAGTATAATATTTTCAATAACTCATTTTTTAAAAAACATTTTGAAATTTAATATGTAAACTTCCGTTTTTAAAAAAGTAATTTTTAAAAAAATTTAAAAAAAAAAAAAACGAAAACTGGATTTTTTTTTTAAAAAAACAAAAAAAGTAGTCACGGGCTTATCCGTGACTATTATTAATCCGAAATTATTATTTTTTTAAATAAAAAAATAATTAGTCACGGTCGACAACCGTGACTAATTTCAAAATTTTAAATTACCGCCGCGGGCGGTTTTTTACTCAAATTTTGAAAATTTGAAATATTAGTCACGGTCCAAAGCCGTGACTACTAAAATTAATTTTTAAAAAAAACTTAGTCACGGTTTCTGACCGTGACTAATACGCCGGAGTGGGGTTCCGGCGGGTATTATAGTCACGGCTTCTGACCGTGACTAGTCCGTGACTAAATTTAGTCACGGTTCGTTGGACGTGACTTCAATTTAGTCACGCCCATTAAGTCACGGATTTAGTCACGGCCAGCGACCGTGACTACATCATTTAGTCACGGAAAAATTGAACTGCTGTCCGTGACTAAGTCCGTGACTACTACCGTGTTTTTTTGTAGTGTAATTTGTGTTCAAAGCCCAAGTAATCCAATGCAAGGAAGCCCATATTAACATATGATTCCAAAGCCTTAGTGGTCCAACGCAAGGAAGCCTATAATGACATTTGTGCCCAAATCATAGAAAGCATTTTTAAATTTAAGGAACATTTTCAAATATTGTTCAAGTTGAATACGTATAATTGAAGAGCTCCAAGTATTTCTATCACTCTGTGTCTCATGATCATCTCTTATTAGGGTTGGACTCGGGCCGGATGGCCCGACCCGGAACCGGCTTGAACCAGCACTGTTCCGGCCCGGCCCGGTGGCCCGGTCAGTGACCGGTTCGGGTAGGCCTGACCTGTTGGGGTTCCGGTGCGGGCTCGGGTCCCTCAATACGTGAATCGGCCCGGCCGGTTCGGGCCCAGTCCGGGCCATTTTATTTATTTTTCTTTTTTTTTTTTGAATTTTTTTTTAAGTTTTTGGGTTGGGCTGAATATTTTTGATCATTTGAGATGGTTTGGGGGTGAGGGGGGTGGTTAGGGGTTAATTAGGAAAAGGCAAAAAAAAAAAAAAAATTGAACCGAGGCCCGGCCCGGACCCGGGGTTTACCCGGGCCGGTTCCGGGCCTCCCCTTTCCTGAACCGATCGAGGCCTGGCCGGGCCCAGGCCCGAACCAGGCCCAGGCCCGAACCGGCCCTGGTCCATGCCTATCTCTTATTATGACTTAATTAGCATACTGATTAAGAAAATTGCCTTGTGTAAAGAACAATATGTAACAAATAATTTGGGACAAAGGCAAAATTATTATCTTTATTTTGTTAAAGAAATACTAGTACTTTTTTAAACGAAGTAATTTGTATTGCTTGAAGCGGACCATAGAACCTATTCGACTTTCTACGTTTTTCTTCTGATACTTCGAGGCTAAAATCGCATATAGGCTCTCCCAATTTGCACAGCAGTAGTCCAGTAGACAAAGACCAATTTGACAAAGCAAAGTTTGGAATTAAGGAGACTCAGCCCCCATCAATCAATCACTTTAAAGAACCTAATATTCTCACTGCTAATCTTCGGATATTAGTCGGGTTTTTAAAAAACAACCATTATAGCTATTTCACATTAATTGGCGTCATGCAAAAAATTTGTATGAAAAAAAGCAAAAGAGATGAGATTTTTTAATTAAAAATTGAATCAGGCGTATTCTTCTTTGTGTTTGTATTTGCTCAGCCCATTTGACCTGGGACTATTATGGAGCATGGCTTGGCTGGCTCCTCAACAGTCCCCAATTTATGCAGTAAACAATTATCCAGTCACTGCCACCCTTCACTCAGTAGTGACATCTTGACTCTTGTGTAAGAATGATTCCCTCTATCTCCACACCACTAAAAATGGGATCTATTTCCTTTTTAAAATTATGACCAAAGACATCAGCCATGGCATGATGGCAAGTATGCTTCTATAAAGTTCAGGTCTGACACCCTTCGCAGGTCAACCAGCTGCATTTCCCATCTTAATTCTGTCTAGAACCAATCCTATTATACACTAGGGGGATAGCAGGACTTCTATACCCCTAAGCCGACTTTTTCTCTTGTTTACGATTCTTTCATTCGGTGAAAAAGGATAGGAAGAGGAACAAGGGTCGGATAGGGTTGGATGGTTCATTCAGTTTTGGGCAGACTGACTTGACTGGTTTTCCCCAACTCATATCTCACACTTGTGGGATTTTACGCGTCAGAATTTTTTATCAGGTGTGAGGAATTTTTTGTTCGTTTATGATTTAATTGCAAAGTCGTGTTCATTTGCTCTCCGATAGAGCAAAGCTGATGCCTCCACCCTGCAATTTTTTAATTGAAGAGCAAAAGAAATATCTTTAGATCTTACAAACAAACACAATGATGAGCTTTTCTATCGAAGCATGAAAACCGTACTTACCAGCCAGGATGAACGACAAATCTTCCAGTAGCAAGAGCCCAGTTGACCTGTATATATTTATATATAATACATATATATATGAAACATTATAATCATAAACATAAATAAACTTTACTTCATAGGAACAACGAATAAGCTAGGAAAAGAGAGACTGTCAAGGAGCTATGTAATCTTTATTTTATTATTGTTATTACTATTTTTGATACTGTATTATTTATAATAAATGGTATGTGTTCTGTTCACTTTTGTTCATTTTTTATGAAGCCAAATTCTTCCTATGCAATTAGATAGATATTATAGGAGAAATATGGAATGTAATATTTAAAAGTTTATCATGTTTTGTACCTAATTCTTTCTATTTATGGAACACAGTACAGAGACGTGCTGCCGTGCAGAACTATAGACGCACCACTTACACATATTATACTACGTACTTCGCAATATGTTTAATTAGAATAAAAACTAAAAAATTTATATGGAGTAGCATTTATCAATATTTTTAAGAAAAACTGGTTCTCTCACAACTCCTCTACTTATTCAATAATTGCATCTTTTAAGCTCTCCTTCCCCTCCCATCTGTGCATTTTTTCCTTCACATAAAGTTGCTTTTACTCCAATTAGATAATATATCAGTCAAATTCCAAGCTGCAACATCTAAAGATGTTACAACAAAATATATATACCTTATCAGTGCCAAGAGAATTGGCAACTACATGGGTCACCTTCTCATCAATCTGGTTTGTACACACAGCACCAAACTGTTCGGCGGTTTGCCACAACGGATGCAAGTGTGGATTAGCTTCTCCAACGGGAAAAACCCTACTGAAGACAATCCGGCACCCAGAAAGTATCCGTCTTTGTTCTGTGGCTAAGATGTTCCTGACATCAGCTTCATCCAAGGATGGATGCTCAAAAAACATCTGATGGATTTTTTCAATGACCTAATTCCCCAGGCAAAGTGAACATGGGCAATCTCAGGAGGGAAACAACGAACGCATACCAATTATTAAATCTAAATATTTTATCATCTCACCGCCAAAGAAGATGCCAAAGTCCCAGCTTCAGGTCTCTCATCATGATCAATCTCAAGAAGAGAGGGGCCTGGTAGGCCAAACTGGCGCCTACTGCAAGGGAAGTAAATATACCTACATAGCAACATAACACATATTATGTTTTTTACACTGGCAATTTAGGGTCTGTTTGGAAGAAGGGTTTTGGAGGGAGAGGCTTTTGAAAAAAAGAAAGCAGGAAAGATGATTAGAAAATTATTCAACATCATGATATGCTAATCTTTCTATTTTTTATAAAATCTCAAGAACACACACACTTATAAGTTTGTGTATTTGTGTATATACTGCAGCCCTCCTCCAAAAACCTCAACTCAAACAACCATTAAGTAAATATGAATGCATATTCACCTTTCCACAACAATAAGATTTAGTTTGTTATGAGGCCAAACTCTCACAGAATCATCAATAATCACAACAGATGATTCCATCCCCAAAACACCCTCCAGGTCTTTGCTCTTAGGAACCACCCTTTCATCACCATCAATGAGATCTGCATCATCGCCTCTGGATACAACTCTTCCAGAAAACATATCACCTTTTGGATCAAGTAGTTTTGCCATCTCGGTCGCATAAAGTTTGTTTCCCATTGTGTAGAGGTGTAGCTCAAAAAGCTTGCTAGCCTATATGGCACATTGAAAGACATAAATAAATGTAACAATGCAATCCATCTATAATTCAGATCGAAAGTAAAAATCGCTAACAGAATGTTACCTTCTCCAAAAAGTTCCAGATCCCTGGTCGTAACTTAGTCCACATTGCCATATGAGGAAATCTGAATAGATGCCTCTTAGGCTTTTCACGCTCCTGTTCTTCTTTTTTCCTCAAAATTTCATCGTGTACTGGATCTACTTCAACAAACTGAAAGCAGTATAATAAAAATGACATCAGAAAAAAGTTCAGTTATACATAAAAATTCAACACAAGATCCAAATATGCTTCATGCCTTAGCTGAATTCAGTAAAGTATGATCCAGATCCAAGACAAGGGAAAGCTTTTTTGCTGAAAACATTTTCTTTTGTTCTTCTATCCTTCTTGCCCTTTCTCTCTGGATAGCAGCTTTCTGCTGGTCATCAAAACCTTCAAAGAGATGCTCGACATCTCCCCAACTGCTCTGAGGTCGAGAGTGGATTACAGAAGCCACTTCAGATGATGGGAGTTGGCTTGAATCCGAAACTACTGCCTTCACTTCCAACTTACCTTGAGAAACAGGAGTATGTTGTGATGGAGGACTTTGAGAAGCTAGAGGTGAGAAGACAAGTGGTTGAGAAACAGAGATCATGTCGGCAATATTTTTCAAGTTCTTAGTAAATAAGTGAGATATATCGGGTGCAGCAGAGGAATTGACCAATGCAGGCTTCTTATCCAACTGTTCAACCTGGACTTTGGCAATTAAACCACCAGTTTGGTCCAAAGCCGCTTTCTCATCCTTTTGAATTGAGGGGTTATGAAGGATGCGCCGAGGGTCACGGGGTTTCATGCGGATTTTCCCGAGATCGTCCTGCAACAATGATAAAGGTCAAATATTACCAAAACAATTCAAACTGTTATTTGAAATCCAGATGCTTTGACCAATTACCTTTGGAGTAGCTATCTGCGGAGAAGCCTGACGAATTCCTCCCCGCCTGGGGTCAGTCGGGGAAGATTGGGGAAGGGCCACATTCATTGGCGGAATGCCTCTCAAACTACTATTAGAAGAGCTCACGGATTGTGCTGTGATTTTGGAAGGCTCCATAGACCTCTGCTGTCCCATTTTAAATCTATCCATCCATGTGGATGGATTTACTGCAATGTCATTTAAAAGAGATTGCAAGGTAGCTGCAATACTTGTGGTTGTTGCAGGTATATTCTCAATAGCACTCAAGGTAGCTGCAATACTTGTAGTTGATGTGATACTTGCGGTTGTTGCGGGTATATTCTCAATAGCATTTACTGTGGCATTCAGTGCAGTGGGAGGAGCTGTGACAGCAGTTGTTACTTGTTCCAAATTACTAACATCCTTCATGGACTTTAAGAGAAGGTTATTATTAGTAACTGGAAACCCATCCCCTCTAACTCCTGACCAACCACCTCCCCCAGTATAAGATGGAGTACTAGAGATGATAACAGAGTCTGTCTGCTCACTTTTATGCCTTTTTATTGCTGGACCACCAAGAATAGGTTCATCGACTGTCCTCTGCTTTCTTGATCCCACCATTTCCCCAAAACCTACAATTATATTTTCATTATTTGACATAGCTGGAACAACTCCAAGGTTGAAACTTTGGGATGGGGGGTTATTTAAGACCCGAAGTCTTGGATCTTTGATTTTTGGAGAACTCCTTGATACAGGAGTTGCTGCTGAACTTAGGGAGCCAGCAGTACTAATGGACACATGGGGAACAGAAGAAACAACAAGCTGTTTAGGACCCAACGTGTTTAAACTATTGCAGTTTTTGGGAATAGAACTGGAAATTTCTTCACCAATGTCAGTGTCCCCATTATCATGATCTTCAGATGGGGTTGGACTTGGAAGTCTGTCAGTCGTGAAAAACGTACTACGGCCAAATTTTTGTTGATAGGAGGAAACAGCTTTAAGGGCATCGGTTTCGTATGGATGCATTACAGAATTACTCATCTGAAGAGCTCCTCTTGGAAAGGGGAACTCAGGTTTCATTACTCCACGTTCCCCTGATAATGCCTTATCACTAGGAAGGAGAGACTGAGTTTCTCTTGTAGGAGATGGAAGACTATCTGCATCGTGATCCTTATGAAGGTCTAGCAAAGGAAGCGATAACCCTCTAAGTTTAGAGGCCTGTCTCGAAGATTCAATAGACATCTTAGATTCATTATGAATGATACCATTTGCTGTCATTGATTCCAAATCCATTCTGTTCATTAATGCTGAATCTTGAAACATATCTGTAACAGATGATGTGTCTGATTCATTCTCATTAACCACTTGAACCACTTTCATCTCCGAGACCTTATCACCATCTTCAATCTTCGAAGAAATAGATGAAAGATCTAAAGAATGCAACAGCTTGCCCACCTGTGAAATCAAACATCAGTAAGATGTTCCAACATCCTGATAAATATCCCACAATGAAAATTTTAGCAGCTCACCTCATGCAACTGCTGTTTGGAGAAAAGTTGAGTCATTTTCCTACTTGCACCAACAAGGACTCTGTAAAGTACAAATGAGATGGAGGGAATCCGTTTAATTTAACCACCCAATATATAATCCAATCAGATTATATAAAAGTCTTGAGTGCAAATGCAATTGTCAAATAAAATGAATAAAACCTGGATAAGGGGTCTTTATGTTTCTCTTTCTCCACCTGTTTCATAGAGTACAGCACCTAAAAATGAAAAACACTTAGCCACATCTTCATGTAAAGGACTACGTAGACATACCAACACAATTACAGGAATTATGTCAGTGTTTGTAAAGTTTAAGCTTGACAGTTGTTCCATTTATAAATTGAAAAAAAAAAAGATTACGGTAATATTGGATGTCATACAGCTATAGCAGTTCGAATAGCAGTAAAAAATAATTCAGCCAAAGCTTCATTCTCTGACAATGAATTCTCAGAAACAATTTCGTGCAAACTATCCAACAATCTTTGCAATTTGGAGCAGGCTTCATTGAATGGTCTACAGAACAAATCAAATACCATTGTTAATCACCATAAGACCACTCTGGTTGTCACATAATCTTTTTATTTGGATTATTATTCTTAGAGAAACAGATTTAACGATGTCTACTTACTTCCATGCTTCTTCTACAGTAAGACTACGTAGTTCTTCCTTAATCAAATTAACCTTCTCCTCGGCATCACCCACTACCATTGCCACCGAAGTAACCTCCTTCAAATCCCCGTTTTCAAAAGCCTCCGAATCCAAATCGATCTCACCCTCCTCCAACTCCTCGTCTTCCTTAACACCATCTTCTACATCAATCACAATCGCATCGTTCTTACTCTCCTCACCGCTCCCCTTATCCGAAGCATCTGCCCCAGATTTCTTCATCACGAATAGCTCGTCTAAAGGCTTATTTTGAACAGCCTGAGCCCAAGCTAAATTATATAAACCCCTAGCGTAATCCCTCGAGATCGGATAGTTATTATACAGGTCTTTCATTGTCCAAACACGAGCAGGTTTCGGGTCACTCGCAACATTGCCATTCGAATTCGCCTTCCCAGCTGTAGCGGCAGTACTAGAAGCAGAAGAAATGGGAGGCGAAGGGTCTCCCTGCTTATTGAAAGCCTCCTTAGAGATCTCTTCAACCGAAGCTGAATCCGAGATCTCACCTTCCTCTACGTCCACAAAAGCGGTCGTTTTGCATTCTTCATCCATTATATATAATCTAGGGTTTGGATTTTTATCTTACATACGTTTGTAGAGACCAATTGGTGATGAAACACTCGATAAATTACAAAGGATCGCAGGATGATGAGAAGACGAGTGAGAAAATCATCTGAGAAGAAAATAGAGTCAATCGTAGAACCCCGTAATAACTGCAACTCGGCGTAAGAAAAACCAAACACTTTTATTTTAATGAAATAAAAAATGTACGGAGTAAAATTTATCAAATGAGTCTGATGGGTTTCACAAATCAGACTAAACCTGAATATTTATAAAATATACACAGATCAGAAATTTACAAAACTAAATCAGATTAGTTCAGATTAGAAAATCTCAATCCAAATAAAAACATCCTTAATACTCTTATACTCTCTGATTTTTTACTAAAACATCTTACTCCCTGTGTTCTTTATTAAGGGTTCATTTTTATAACATTAGAATTGATTGAACTGACTAAATCTGCTGGAATTAATGAGATTTCAGCTGGAATTGTTATATTAACTAGATCCGTTGAATTATGAGAAAATATACATTTAAAAGATATTTTGTTAATCTAACTAAGAGAAAATTATTCGAAAGAACTAAAATTATCATCTACACAAATTTCAGTTAATTTAGCAAAAAAGTAACTTCAACATTACTTATTTTAATTTTAATTACGAAGTATTATCTAACTCAGCACGTTATATCAAAAGTCAAGGGATCAATGAAACAATTGGCTAATAAGACCACTAAACTGAAAATAGGAGTTACAAACGAACTCTAAGTGCCCTACTTAAGTCTTTTACTGAGTAAAGTTAAAACAGTATGGACATTATAGAGTGTGGTCTAAATTTTTGTTTAATTGAAAAAGTTGGAAAGATCGTGTATTAATTAAGAAATGTAATAAGTGAGTGGCGGAGGAAGGTAATGAAAAAGAAGGAAAACAAACATAAAAAAGTGAGAGTAATTAAAGTTAGGATATGAATGAATGTACAGGCGTACAGCGTATTCTTTAGAAAAAAGTTATTGAAAAGGAAAGCGGAGATAAATAATACTCCTTGTCAAGTACCTTATGGTCTGATGGGCTGATCTCCCAAAGAGGAGGTCGCAGGTTCGAGTCTCATCCCAAATCAAGGATGTTGGCATTAACATGAGCATATACTATAATAGGTTTATAAGAATGTTCCAAAAAAAGATAAATAATACTTCATCCGTCCCGCTAAGAAGTTCTCGCTTTCCTTTTTAGTAGTACCAAAAAGAAGTTCACATTTCCTTAAATGGAGAGTTATCTACATCAAAACAGTGTCAAACAGTGCCAAAATGGTGTCAAAACAAGTCATCCTAGTAAATTTATTTTCTTAATATGTGTGTAGCCACTACTTGTAGGTCAAACCGGGAACTTCTTAGCGAGACGGAGGGAGTAATAAACTTCTCAAAAAGAAATATTCAACAAGTAGTAAAAATATATAGAGGAAATATTATATATTTATAGGTGTTGATCGAGTTTATGTAGTCGGTGTGCGAGGATCTTTCTCCGGATTTTTTTGTGAATCCGAGTGAATAGTGTTATTCAAAAATCATATAAATCTACATGCATTAATTAAATAAATAGAAAGTAAATAAAATTACTTTGGATGAAAGTATGAAACCGATCCCAATGAATCATTCTCTCCTAAAGATGAATTTGCCCACAACACAAGTAGCAATTGCCTCCCAGGATAGAGCAGTTTCTACGTTCCCGAAGGACACCGACGAACCAAATAAAGCACTAAAGTGGTGGAATTTGGATGAGGAATATTAAGAAAGCTTTGAGCATTTTCATACTTCTTATCAAGTGAAAAATGCAGGCCTCCTAATGGGATTTATATGCTCTGGCCAGGAGACACTATCCCAAAAGGAGCCTGTTAAGACAAGGTAGTGACCCTTCTCTTAAAGTTGCCTTTATCCGAAAATAATTTGTATAAAAATAATGTTTGTCTTAAAGCCATGCAAGTACCCACCTGTACTCGAAACCTGACCCGACCTGTCTAGCCAGCCGAACAGCGGCGGTGGCGCGGGACAAGTCCTACACGAACATTGCTTCGGAGAGAATTTCAGGATACAATTGCTCATTCATTTCAAAATGATTTTCTACAAATAATATATAATTTGTAAAACCATTTTTCCAACAATCCCCCACATGAATGAGAAATTACCTTAAGACATAAACAGACAAGATTTGACAAAGGAAGATGGGAACTCTGCATAGGGTTAGGTAGTCCTGAAACTTTGAACCTACCTTAGTGTATATCCATCGGATTTACTGGACAATCGGTAGCACTTTGCTTTGAACCGCCAACCGTTGCGTAAACCTAGACAATGAATAACACACAGAGATTCAGATGCATGTTTGATTCTCACGTTTGTGTTCGTTTCAACCTTGAACACCTCCTGGTTCAGCCAGTGCTTTAGAGAGTTTATAGTGCACCGAAGGATTTATCTCGTACTATAGACTCTCATAGAAACGGCCTTCTTCCACCAGCATAGGTGGTCTCTATAGAAGGTATCATGTTATACCTTACTCGAACATATCAAGATGTAGAGACCATTAAAAGCGTAATTTACCCTAAGTGCTCATGGCATGGGTGTACTATATATCTTGACTAGTACCACCTGAGCCATCCCAAAATTGTGTTTTCCCTTTGAACCTAATTACGAGGCACTCTCAATAATAGGTGGGGTTTCCCCATGGACTTTAAGTGATCATTAGCCGTAGGCCCATCACTCTTCTTGACATTTCAACCATCACTCTCTGGAGTGGCTTGATTAGCGGATCTGCAATACTTTCCTTTGATTTCACATAGTCAAGAGAGATGATCTTATATTTATTACTTTTCTAACGGTGTTGTGTCTACGACGAAGGTGTCTAGACTTACTATTATAAACTGCATTCCTTGCCTTTCCAATTGCAGTTTGGTTGTCACAATGAATGTATATTGGAGGGACAGACTTTTCCCAGCAAGGAAGATCTTCCAAAAAAACTCTCAACCATCCAAATTCATCTTCGGCCTTATCTAAGGCAATGAATTTAACTTTCATGATAGATCTTGCTATACAAGTCTTTTTGGAAGATTTCTACGAAATAGCATCACTTCCAAGTGTAAACACATATACACTTGTGGATTTAATGTCCTTGGAATCGGATATCTAATTTGCATCGGTAACCTTTCTAGTGCATTGGATAATTTCGAAAATGTAATCCAATTTTTTTGGTGTACATCAAATGTTCAAGTACTCGTATAAGTGCTTTCCAATGTTCTTTACCTGGGTTATGTGAAAAGAGACTTTTAACTTATTCACAACTTGAGCTATGTCGGGTCTCGTGACATTCATGACATACATTAAGCTGCCTATGACTCGAGGAGAGTCATCTCGTGATACACTTTCACTCCTATTTTTTTTTACTTAGGTGAACACTTGATTCAAAATAAGTTCTCATTGGTTTGATATTACACTTCTTGAACTTATCAAACATTTTCACAATGTATTGGGATTGCGACAATACCAACCCTTCTAGTGTTCTCGTGACTTCATATCAAACAAAAAATCGCCCACGTCCATATTATTGGATTTATGGGCAAAAAAATTATATGCACTACTATTTTGTGCATAACAAACAAAAGACACAATCAATAGTCTTCGGATCAAGCTTCGTTCTTTTAGGTTTAGGAATAACTACTTTAACTAGACATCCCCATATGTTTAAGTAATTAAAACTTTGTTGTGTCCTTTTTCATAACTCATATGAAATTTTAAGAGTTTTCTTGTGGGGCATTCGATTGAGAATGTAATTAGTAGCTAGGATAGCATCCCCCCACAAGTCGTTTGGTGCACGAGATCTTACTAACATGAAATTAACCATATTCTTTAAAGTCATATTGCTTCTTTTGGCTACATTATTCGATTGAGGCATATAAGAAGCGATTACTTGATGAATAATTCCATTTTCTAACCAAAATCATGCAAATGAATATTCACACTTACCACCTCTATCACTTCTCAGTGTCTTGATTTTCTTACTAAGTTGATTTTCAACTATATCTTTGTAATGCCTAAAAGCATCAATTCCTTGCTTAGCAAATACCGATAGCGATATCTAGTGCTATCATCAATTAAGGTAATGAAATACATTTTTCCACCTCTAGTTTCATCATATTTATATAAAATCACATAGATATGTGTATATGAGATATAGCGGTCATGTGTCTCTTGAGATAGTTTGAAAAAGTTTTCTAGCTTTATTGGCTTTCACATAAACTTCACACTTATGATTATGATCAATAGGACACTTAGGCAACACGTCTAAATGCATAAATCTATGCCAAGTATCATAATTGATGTGTCTTAAATTAGCATGCAGACATGCAATACTCTCTCCGTCCCCTAAAAGTTTGCCAAATTTGACTAGCACAAGGATTAATAAAGTAAAAATTGTTGTCTTTAAAAAAAGTAAAAATTGTTGTGTGGTTGAGACTTGTGCAGAGGAGAGAATTAACTGGAACCACAAAGTATTTATTTAAAAGAGAAAGTGGCAATGTTAATGGCACATTCAAATAAGGAATGTTGATAAAGTTTTAAGGAAGAAAGAAGTATGATATTGTGTCTGAGCCACCGTAAAAATGTGATAGATACAGTACCTATGGGACATGCCCATTTGAGACTCTAGTTGCTGAAATAGCTATTGTCACAAGACGAGGATGTTGAGACAATAGCCACGAGTGATGTCGGATCAAAGGTGATTCGTATCAAAATTGGCTTTTGAGTTCAATTAGAGTGAATGTACCAATCATGGCATACTTATGCAAAGTTCTCTCTATGGGCTTGCTTGATTTGGTTTGGTTAATGAGTTTTGTTTTTGTGCTTGGTCCCTAATTTGAAATAGTTAAATGCATTGAAATTAGGGGTGGACAAACGGGTACAGGAATCGCGGGTCAAGGCAGGTAATACATGTTCGAGACGGGTTCGGGTCGGATCCTAATTTAAAAAAACCCAAACGGTTCGGGGCGGGTCCTTAAAAACTTAGGAACCGAACGGGTCTTAAAATTAAAAAAAAACGGGTACCCGAACCAAACCGTTTTAAAATACTATTTTAACAACACACGTGAGCTCTTCATGTTCTTGTGTCTAGACAAATACTTTCAATTAAAGAAA